TGGTCGGCCGGACGGACCGACTCTGATACCACTAATGTAACACCCTTTTTCTACCCCAAATTATTAAGGCAAAATAACACAAAAATCAAGGTGAATAAATAAATCTCATTAAAAAGCCACCAAAAGGGCATACATTTCTCAAAGTCATCAAAATAGGTCCATACTCCGTAACTACGGGTTTTCCCCAAAATACATCAAAACATCATAAAACAGCGGAACTCAAAGCAATAAAGTCAAGGTTTCCTCAAAAGGGAAAAATAAGTAAAATAACCCACTGATATATAGTTTAACTCAAAGAACCCAACCCGATGTTACATATCAGAGCAAGACCCTCTAAGCTAACCAAAAGGCTAAAACACTCAAAAACTTCAAAAATACTCTTCGACGGCGTCCACGGCTAAACTGGGTCATCTGCACGTTACCCGCGTGAAGGTAACATTCAAACAGGCAGGGTGAGTAAAACAGTTCATAATAATCAATGTATAACAATTAATGCATAAACAACATCATAATTATATTCAACACATTCATATTCCTCAAATATGCCTCAAAGGCCACAACATCATCATTTATACAAAAAGACTCATAAATGCAATGCAACAAAACTCAATGCATGTGGTACCAATCATCACAGCGCGATGGACACTGGGCCATCAACCCTCCATAGATCCCCATCAATAGGATCAATTCTATTTGAGAACCGGAGCACATAAAAACACTTCACATCCACACAATGGGATTGAAGCCAAAGTAATCGAGGTCTTGAACCGAAGTCCGGATGCACATGAATGCATGATGCACATGTCACAATAATAATCCTCATAATACGGCATATGGTGCATCATCATTCATCATATTCATCATCATCACATAAATCATCATATCTCATGTTATCACATAATCCATCAAATCATGGTGGTTTCATCATGTTAATTCAATCAATACATCATAGAAACCATCATGTCATCGTGTACATATCACCCAAAACCCACTGTCATACTCATGGTAATCCATCACAGAAATCACAGATTCAAACATCACGACATCGCTGCACACAATCAAATTTCACGAAACTCTGCTACGTCCGTTGGCATGCTCGCTAGGCGAAGCTTTCTTCGCTAGGCGAGTCTGGAAAAACATGGTTCGCTAGGCGAACAACGCGATGACAGCAAAATCTGCTACGCACCAGAACTGATTTTCATCCAAATACTCATACCATTCACTTACCCAATGCCCCCAAAACATCCCTAAATCATCCCTAAGGTCATACGGCGATAAAGGCACAAAACCTACGGTTCATTAGGCCAATCCCGGGACATATTTACGTCCTAAAACACTATTTCCCTACAATTACCCAAGGCATCATAATTTCCCATATCAAATCCCTTCAGGGTCAGACTTATAACATCGCAAGGCTTTGGCCACGAAGGCCTAAGGTTTCCTAATTCCTCATACCAAATATTCAATATTCAGTGATACATACCACTAGCCATAACCTCGGAGTCTTATCATCAATTTCCCTAATTTTCCCACGATCAACCCAAAATACCTTAAATCTTAACCCCACCATAAACACATCGAAAGGCATACATAGAAAATCATGAAAAGCGATACTCCCCATACCTTAGTCGATTCGCAGCTTTCACGATTAACTTTGGGATCTTCTGCCTCCAACCTTTCCTTCAGAGCTCTGGCCACCAAACTTTCACGGTTAACACAAATGAATTCTAATTTCCATTCAGAACTCAATTTTGTCCAACCTAGTCTTGGGCTTCACAAATTGGGCTTTTCCCTCATTACCCTTACTAACTCCCTCAAATGCCTAAATTACCCTTATTTCACTTATATTCATTTTAATTTTTATAATAATACTAATAAATTAATATTATATGCTATTAATCAAATAAATACCCAAAAATGCACATTTCCAATACTTCTCAAACCACCGAAAATTCACCGAAACATGAATATTCTCAATTAAATAATTAATTAAAATATTCCGATTAAATTTAGGGTGTTACATCTTTGTCCTTATTCGTTTAGTTATTTAAGAGTTTTCCCATTAGACGATTAACATACTCTAAAAATCCTAGATAGTAACGAGGGTAATAATCCTCTTATATTTACTCCCCAACAATAGTGTCTCCAATCCTACAAGGTACATCATTTTTATTGTTATTGATTATTCTATAATATAACGATATGTTATAATATGTATCTAACTATTATCAATTTAATATATCTGAAACTCTTTACCCTTTTCCTCCATCATAACTTCCCATGTTTCACCATAACTTGGTATATCCTTTTCTTCCTCATCGTTCGTAATTGTGGCCCTTGTTAAACTAGCTCACTTAGATACTTCCCTTGACCTTCCATGAATTTGAAGATTTCCACATGGAATCTATTGCAAGAGTTCATCATCTAATGATTGACAATGTTAACTATATGGATCTGAGTAATATTGATCATCAATGGAACCTACTCAAGCTTTGGGTATTTAAATGGTTGAAAGTCAACAAAACTGGTGGAAGACACTTTGTTGAAGATAAAATCAAGGTTATCACTAAAACTCTTTTTGAATGGGTAAGTCTCATGAATCAGATGCGAAAGGCTATTAACAAAACCTCTGGTCTAAGACAACTCTTCCTAATACCTTAGATTATCAAGATACTCATATGACTTTAGATATGATTGATTTTGAGTTAGAAGACATTGTTAAATCATAGAGTCCAAATATGATCTTAGCTGATATATGTTCTTTGATTGGACGAGATATCGAGGTGTCCCACCTTGGATTTGACTACTAATATATGTTTGAAAGGTCGGCTGCTTTGGGGAGTAATTTGTGGACGACTGTTGATACTTTATGCCATTCGAAATGCTATGTCTAATGTTTCAACAAGACGCTTTTTGATCACTAGGGTAAAGATTCCCCGACTTCCTTCCCATTCCGAAGTAGGTATCTACCTCAAGTAGATCTAGAGTTCTCCTGGGGAAAATATGGCCTGCTGGCCGGCTTTCCTCCGGAATTATGGTCGGATGTGGACGATGTTCTTTAATAGGCCCGTTTAGTATTTCCTTTGGAACGGGGATGCAGAGCGGTGATTGCATGTTTTTATAAACCATTCTCTTTGCAACTGGAATCTGGGGTATCTTTATTCGAGCACGCTCTGTGGACCTCTACTCTGCAATTCAACCTAGGGAGACTCAAATGCATCATGTGGAAATCTTGTAGTGCCTCTGGGAGACACCATGATACTTGATTGACGTCTGACGTTAACCATGAACTTGTGGCATATAGGCTCCCTTAACTATGAACTCGTGGTATCCTTATGATGTTGCCACTATAATCACCCCGACAATAGTCGGAAGTACGGGCGTAGTCAGGTCGGATGGTGGATTACGAGTGTTTGGCCTGACCTTCATAGAAATTGCCTTCAAACTCCGATGCAACCCTAGATACGAATATGAGATCCTTCCTTTCTCTATTATGCAGAGTTCTCGAGGAAACGGGAGATCTTGATGGTGAGGAATTGAAGCGGAGACGGTGTTAACCGAATCGACAGCGACAAGTATCTGTGGTTGCTTCGAAACACAATGGAGTTGCAGAACGAATGTGAATTTTGTGGAAAACGTAAGAATCAGAAATCGATTCTCACAAACGGTGCCATTGCTCCGTTCAGGAATCATAAATGAAAATAGTTGGATGCCTAATGATCTTAAATGGTGGCTCCGATCTCCTTTACGACAGTGTGGGATGGACATGCATGGTTAACACTCTAATGCCCAAGTCAATTCAAGATTCAAGATGAGTATATTGAAAGTGGAGATAAAAAATTATACCTTATTCTTATTGTGTAAATTAATTTTTATCTTGGATCAAATAGAATGGATTTGAAATGAATTGAATTTTTTTACCGGTTATATATATATATATATATATATATATATATATATATATATATATATATATATATATATATATATATATATATATATATATATATATATATATATATAGATAGATAGATAGATAGATAGATAGATAGATAGATAGATAGATAGATAGATAGATAGATAGATAGATAGAATGTCATTTTTGTGTGTGTATAAAGTATATTTAAAAGACAAACAAGTGTTTTATTTATTTTTCAAAATAAAGCAATCTGTTTTTTTTTGCAAAATAATCTATTTTTTAATAATACAATCTTAACTATTTTTAATTTCACATATAAAATTATTATTATTTTTAAATGTCTCCCCCCTTTCCCACCCATCGAATATCATATTTAAAAAAATTATTTAATTTATTATTTTATTTTATCAATATAATTTTTAATTTTTAATTTTTAATTGTGCTCTTTAATTAAATTATTATATTTTTATTATATATTAATGACAATTCAAATAAGGAATTAATTGTTATTACTGGTGTAAAAAATTTTACATTGTCAATGCATCACAACTATCTGTTGCTTTTATTTTTTTGTGGTTAAAATAAAAATCAGACTTTTTAAATAAATCAATACACTACTAGATGCGTATATTAATTAAATTCTTTAAATAATTAATAATTAATAAGAATAGTTTAATAGTCTTCCTTTTATTTATTGCAATTTGTTTTTATATGTAGAAAAATGTCAAATATGACATTTATTTTAGAATATTACATTAAACCTCACATTTAACTATTAATGTAGTATATAGTATAAGAAGAAAAAGACACATTTAATTATTTGCCATGGTTAGTTTTAGGAATTCAACCATTTCTAATAAAAAAATAGTGTAAATGTGTAATGACGAAAACTTGAAAACTATTCGCAGTTCACAGGTCAATAGAACGATAGCGAGAAGGAGGAAGAAGAACACTGCGATTCTTCTTCTCTTTCTCTAGTCTAATCCAACTACGACTATGAACTCAAATTCATTCTTTTCCAAATCTTGATTCAACCTCTCATCTGACATTTCTACCCTCCTTCAATCCTTCTACAGTTTCAATGGCTGATCACTCAGACTCCTCTCCTCTTGTCCCTCCTATTCCCCTCTCCGACCCTTCCTCGATCGACCTCGAAGCCGGCCCCTCTGAGCAAATTCAGTGCAGGATTTGTCTCGAAACTGATGGTAATTTCACTTTCAATTCAACCTTTGGGTTTTTCATTTTTTTTTTGTTGTGAATTTTCATTTTTAGGTTTTAGCGGAAATTGTACTCTTAAGTCTTAATTATGTTGATTGAATGAATAGTGATTTTGGTTCCTATACGTTTGGTTTACTTACAGGTAGGGATTTCATAGCTCCTTGTATGTGCAAAGGTACTTCAAAATATGTTCATCGAGAGTGTTTGGATCATTGGCGCTCTGTCAAGGTAAATTTCTTTTCAACATTGTATTATTAGTCTTTTCTCTTTGCGAGAAATTTATGAACAGCTTTTATAAACAATGATTCCCGGGGTTAAGATTGTTTGGATTGGTGGGATGTGATGGAATGAATGAAATGGAATGAAGTGGTATATGATCAAATTCATTGATTGGATGGAGCGGAATGGAACATGATGGAGTCCATTCTATTCCATCTAATCCATCAATTTTCATTCCTCTAATTTAAGATGTATGCAATGGAATTGACTAATTTGTTCCGTTCCGTTCTGTCAAACTATAAACAATACAGAAACAATGGAATGGAATCTCTGTTCCGCTCCGCGCCACTCCATTCCATTCCGCTGGCTCCGTTAGTGATAACTAGGAAAGGTGGCAGCAAAAGTCATTATGTTAAATTGACTGAGTCCCGTGCTTAGTGGTCAACAAGTTTTTTCATTGCACTAATTAGTTAAACAATGATGTATATTAAGTTCTTACATGTTGATCTCAATCTCATAATATTTTCCAATCCGTCTGCATTAGCCTGTACTTTGTAGAATATCGTGACACTTCAGAGAATTTGTATTGATTTTTATCCTTCAGTTATCTCTCTATCCCAGGGTTGAGTTGAGATCCTCTTCGTTTCTCAAAATAAATAGAAGGAAACATTTGGGAGAGAGATGGGCACAATCTCTCATTTGTGTCTATCTCTCTTCTAAATAGAGCTCTCCAGAAGAACATAGAGGATCTCAACTTCCCCTACATATACCTTAAGGTTTTACATGTTTGCCTTCTTTATTTTATGTAGTCTGTGTTTGCAATTTATAATCTTGATATTCTGTATTATTGACAAGCATCTGCATAACAATAAGTATTTATAATCTGCCTAAAGTTTAGTCTTTGAAGCACGACCCACTTTAGACTGGCCGGATCCTTTGTCTTGTACTGTAATGCTAACAGTTGCATGTGTTAAATGGCGTGCTTTATTTACAGTGCTTAACTTAATAATTATATGGATATTGCTTAACATTATTCCAGGAAGGGTTTGCCTTTGCTCACTGCACTACGTGCAAGGCTCCATATCATTTGCGTGTTCATGTTGCTGCTGATAGGAAATGGAGAACCTTGAAATTTCGGTTTTTCGTCACCAGAGATATCTTGTCTATTTTTATGGCTGTACAACTTGTAGGTTAACTGGTTCCATTCATTTGGCCATCTACTTACTTATCCATTTGTAATGTGTAAATGTATATAGATGTTCTGATTCAGCACCTTATTTCCTTTATATGCAGATTATTACCTCACTGGCATATTTGGTTTATCTAATTGATGGTTACCAGCAAAGTTGGCTTCGTATTCTCTGGGGTTTCGAAAGTCAACTGAGCTTCTATTACTTATGTGGTAAAAGAAAATTAAAGCCGTCTTCATCAAAATGCTTATACGATATTATTTTCCATGAATTTGCTTTTTTCTCCTTTGGCCTCGAGTTCAGAATTTCCTCCCTTCACAAATAAAGTTTACAAGTTTTGTTGTGGATTACTGAATTTCATGTTTGTATTTTCAAATGCAGGAGCTCTATTGTTTTTTGCCTTGCTTGGTCTTTCTGGGTGCTTCATTACTTGTTATGATCGAAGAGTTCGCAATGATTTGGCTCAACCGTGTAGAGAATTATGTCTTTGTTGCTGTCAACCTGGGTAACAACACTGATTTTATATGTTCACGTGACACTGTTAGAAACACATAAGTTGCTCTTAGCATCTGCAATGGGCATCATTATTCTTTATTCTATAAATATATCATATATAATGGAAATAACAGGTATTGGTGTACACAATTTTTTTTTCCATTGATCCATTTTAGATTTTTTTATTGAGTTTAACTCATACTTACAAAACCTAATACATATTTTAACACTCCCCCACAAGCTAAAGCTTACTAACTTTAAGTTTGTTACAGATATTACCCTTTAAAAGAGAAGATCAAACCAACCAAACAAAGTAATATTAGAACCACAATCAATTTTCATGAACTGCATCCATACAAAGCTGCAACGATATTGGGTTAGATGTTGTCCTTTGCTTGAACAGCCAACCTTAAGTGTGTGATCGATGCTAGTTAATCAACATCGATGATAGTTGGACAACTGGACTACCAAAAAAGAAAAAACTAAGTTGAACATGTCATGTGTGACTGGTGCCACTCAACCTGCCTTTGGTTAGGCGATGGGACTACCAGATGCTATTGAGTATTGACAGTGTGCTGAGACTGATGACTGGAGAGCCTTCCATTAGAGACAGAATTGTGGAAAGGCAAAGAGCACACTGTGACAAGAGTGACTTGGTCGGTTGATCAATGGACAAGATGTTGCTAACCAACAACCTCAAATAAAAAAGATGTTGCTACCCATCAACCTCAAATAAAAAGATGAGCAAAACTGGACTAGTGAGAAATGTGCTAACAAGACATAGTGAAACACTGAAATACACAATAAATGAGCAGTGTGCAAATATGCACAACGGACAAAAAAATATTGTGACCAAGGACCTAAATTGTTGAAGCAACAGATATTGGGATGCAATCAGTGATAAAAGATCAAAACACTGTAGAAAATATACCTGGATGCATTCACAACCATGGGATCCACAGTCTGAAAGTGGTACCAACTGAACCAAGAAGGGGAGATGAGTCTAACGGGATCAGCGGCATTATAGCTGGAGGTATGGAGGGTGGCCCATGGCCTTCATGCGCCGGCTGGACTGACGACAGCAGAAACGGGCGGTGGCTCGACTGATAGAAGTTAACTGAGGCGCTTCTGGAACTGGCTGATCTGACTCCGGAGAATCTGATGGCGAGGTGCCATGTTGTCAGACGCCACAGTTGAGTTTTTTATAAAGGCTAAAGCATCAACCCTGGAACTGTTTTAGGCCTACACGTAGTGCCCGTTGGACATCCAACATCCAAACTGAAAATAAACTAGGGTTAGTTTTGACGGTGGCTGAACCCAAAGACAAAGAACTATGATTTCCAACCTTGCTTGAAAAAGAGAAACTATTATTATATTCCTAACCATTAGGGAACTCCACAATGAGTAGTGGCCATATGGCTCAAGGAGGATCGAACCAAACTCTAGATACCATGTTAGATTTTTATATTGAGCTTCATTCATCTTTACAAAACCTAATACGTATTTTGACAGACGATAATATTATTAATTAACCAATAGTTCTCATTGCTTTAGCATAAAATAATGGTTCTAATTGCCCTTACATTTTGTAACTGATTTTTTCAACTAAAACATTGTGACCCCCTTCAAAATATAAAAGTGCTTGGCTTTTAAATAACCGTTTAAACCATTGTTTTCTTATTTAATTTTATGATGCCAGAACTATGATTGGAGTTAGTATTTGATATATGTTTTGGTCTTGATTTTGAACTCTTTCTTTGCAAGGTGTAATATGCATAAGATTTAATTTTTCGCATAAATATAAAATTCAGCTGTTAATTTATTCATGCTTACTTATATGTGAAGTATCTTACTATGGGTTGCAAGTCTGAAATTCAGAAGGAGGATGATTAATGACTGGTTTTTTTATTCGTGTATGCTGTTGTTGCAGAGTCTGTGCTGACTGTCATTTGCCAGGCACTCTTTGTATGTGGACTGATTGCACTGCATGCTTTGAGAGTTGCGGAACCATGGCAACAGAATGTGGTGGTTGTTTGGGAGGTGCTGGGGAAGCAGGACTACCATTATTATTCATAATGGCTTTGGTTGTTCTGGGACTTTTTACGGTAATTGGGATATTTTACAGTGTATTGGTGGCAACTATGGTAGGCCAACGGATATGGCAACGCCACTATCACATACTTGCAAAGAGGATGTTAACAAAGGTGTGTTTGGCTTACTTTCTCATTTACTACACATTTTGTGCATTACAGTTCTGTGTTAGTTCTTGCTGCAACTCAGCTGATAAGTCAAGTTTCATACATAATGTATTTATGCAATTAGCCCATTGTCTTCATTCATTTTGAATTTAAATCCTACATAATATCGTCAGAGGAATTTATTAGGGAAGGTAAAGCCAAGAATCTCAACAAATTCTGTTATGCTTTTGTAACTGACTTATTTAAACTCTTGCATTAGCGTCATGTCTCAGATTGAAAGGATTTTTTTTTAATGCATTTTGCTAAAGTAAATGTACTTCAGCTTCTAGCCTCTTAACGTACCTTTAGGTCACCTGCCTTGTTTTTTTTGGGGCTATTTTGCTGAACAGCACAAACTCACTTATTAAGCCTTCCTGCCACTGGTGTTATAGCCGACTCTTGAGTGGTCTGCTAACTCCCACCCAAACTCTCACTCAACCATTCTTGCCTCATTTCCTCCCTTAAATTTCCCTTTACTCCACACACTATCTAAAACTCTTCTGTCTTGTTAAGAGTCATACATCGGACAATATATTGGCCTGAACATGTGTTTATGTAAGTGACCGTAATTCTTACTCTGGAAGCCGGTTTTGTAGGGTTGAGTTAGGCCCAACCACAATTCTTAACATGGTATTAAAGTCTTGATTTGAGATTCGTTGGCCCACCTGCTATCAGGTTTATGCTATCTGACTACCCACCATTTATTTCCACGCTAGAGATGTTCATCCTGCGGCGTGAGAGGGTGTGTTAACAGACAAATATGGCCTGAACATGTACTTATAAGTGAGGTAATCCTCACCCTACAAGCTAGTTTTGTAGGGTTGAGTTAGACCGAATTAGACTCGATCACAATTCTTAATATGTCCTACCTGCTGCATATGCAACTTTGTTACCTACCAACTCCCAAAGTTGATCCTTGGTTACACCCCCCTCATGAGTACATGCATTCCCCTTTTGCTGTTTTGTCATACAATTTAGTTATGGGAGGGCAACTATCAATGATAAATTAGTAAAGGCATCTTTTGGCTTAACAATTGGTATGACAGACATTTTGAGACAATTAGATGAGTTATCCTTGATCCTCGATAATAATAATATACTTAAATCCTGTGCATTATCTTGTATGGTGCCCTGTAATTTCTGTGCTTGTCTCGATTTGTTGATTTTAAAACTGTTATTACTTATCATCATAGGAGTACGTGGTTGAAGATGTTGATGGAGAGATGACAGGGTCTGATTGGTCTCCCCCATCCCTCCCACCCGAGCATGTTCAGCAGTTGAAAACATTGGGCCTCTTATGATTTGAACGAGTCATCGGTCATCTATTTTATGACCAGAATAACAGTAGAAGTAGACTGGCCTGGCCCTGCCTTTGTTTTGGTAAGCTGGTCCTTTTCGTGAAGATCTGCAGATGATTGACAACTTTTCTATAGCCGTGAAGTTCAGTTTGATTACAGTTTTACACTTGTGTTGAATTGTTGATAGATGGAAATTTGTGAAATTCTGATCTTTTACTAATGTAAAGAAAATTGAAGAGAATATTTGAATGCTGAATAACATGTTACATGTATATCATTGCCACTTCCTCCCTGATATGTTGTAGTCCCTGTTATGTTCTAGAGAAAAGGCATCCTAAAACGTTTAAATATGTTCTAGAGAAAAGGCACAAAAAGATGAAGGAAGGACAAGATAATTCGAGTCAAGAGTCAAATCACGAGGATATGATTTCAATCAAAGAATGATTTGAATCAAAGATAGTTAAGAGAGAAATTTGTCATTTGATTTGAATCATAATATGAGTTAATGATTTAAGTTAAAGCATGATTCGAATCACATTTGTTTTTAAAAGAATTTTTTGATCACATGATTCCAGTCAAAGAGTGTTGTGATTTGAGTCAAACACACCTTTGATTCTAATCAGGTTGACAAAACTAAAATTCAAACTTCATGTTGATGTTTGATTCGAATCAAACTTCATAAAAATTTTGAATTAAGTATTCTAACTTGTGATCTCTTTGATGAAGCTAATTGCACCTCTACATGTTTCTTTTATGCTTCAATATATTGTGATGTTAATTGTCTAATAAGCTTTGTTTGTTGGTGGAAGATTCTTTGTAAAGATGTGCATCATATCTTGCATGTTTTGCCTAAAAATAGTCAAAGGGGGAAATTCGTTTTTACAATTGATTGTCAAATTTTTATTGACATGTTAAGTAAGATCCTCTGACTTTATGTGTGGGACATTTTGTCTTGATCAACTTATTTGGCACGCATATTTTAATGGATTGAATTTTGCTATAACAAGATTTGTTTTCTTTTTGGTTCAATAAATTTTAAACACGTTTTTATGTGGATTTTATTTATTTATTTTGAATCCTTTACTAAAGAAATTGGATCTCTTATTTATATCAAATTAAGATTTTATTATCTTTGATGTGATTAATATTTAGAATTGGCATTATGAAGATTGATCCTGCATACTTATGGAATACAATCGTTTTCGTACAAAAACTCTACTGACCTTTTATGTTGGATGTTGTTCTTATTTAAAGAGGCATTCTACCTTATATGAAGACTCAATCTTTGTATTTTGAAGTTTGACATTTTATAGTTGTCATTTATTTTGATTTTCTAATACTTTATTTCAGGGTTATCTTTCTAAGTCTATTCCAATATTATCTTTTTAAGTTAAAAGGATAAAATGTTTGTTTTGTAATTGTGATTTATCACTTCATATATTTATTTAATTGTGCAAATACTCGGGAGAGTCTTTGAGTTAAAGTGAAAGAGGTCATAGATTTATGGAGAGTTTGAATTGAATTTCACATGTAGTATTAGAAAAAAGCCATTGAATTAGAAGGGTTCATATGAGGCCGTGATATATTATTGACTACTTAGAGTGAATTTTGTTTATTGGGCTAATGTCATCCAAACATACGCGACTTGTCACCAAACTAGATTAACAATTACTTGTTTTTTTTTTCTCGTTTGTTTGATATTTTGTTACGCCTTCTTATTGCATATACATTATTTCAACATTGTGTGTGACATCTTGTCACTTATCAAACAAAATTTCATAAAGGATATAAATGTTAAGGTGGATGAGGAAGACCAAACACCCATTCTACTACTTTCATTGCCAAAGTCCTATGAAAATCTAGTTGAAGGAGACACTTTAATCATGGACGAGGACTAGCATGTTACGTTTAGCATATGACATTCACAAGTGAATTATTATTCAATAATGGAAGAGAACAAGCTCAAAGATTATTTTAGATTATTTTCAACTAGAGGAAGGACAATTGAAAGATCTACCTTCTATAGTATTATTCCCACAAAAAGGAGTGATAGCTCTGTTTTGATATTGGCTATTAGGAAAAGCGAGAAGCTTTGGTTCATCTATAAGAGAGATGATTTGTCTTTCTTATTGAACAAGTAAAGAATAAACTTTTCAAATAGTTATGAGACGATCCATTAACATAATCTGAGATCTAACGGCAGAATATTGATCAATCAATCTTTTTAAGAATCTAATAACTTGATCAAAATTCTTGTAACTTCGAATTTTATCGATTGCTTTACAAGAAATCACACATTCACGTGCAAGAATGAGACGAAAGTTATCTAATTCTTGCCATATAATGTTGAGTTTTGTGTAATAAGATGAAATACAAGAATAACCTTGTTTGAGAGTGCAAGTTTCTTCTTGAATATTAGAGATTATGAACACATCACCATGATAGAACTGATCTTTCATCTTTTTCCATATGCTTGATGCGACTTCCATCCACAAGATACTTTGAGAAATTTAAGAATCAACATAATTATTTAACCAAAACATGATCCTCGTGTTGCATCAATCTCATGCAATGAAATCAAGATCTTCACCCGGTGGTCTTGGTAAAGTGTCATTGATGAAACGCAATTTGTTCTTGGATCTTAAAGCCACAGTCATATACCTCGAGCAAGAATGATAATTTCTTGCATTCAATAGTGGAGTAACTTGTTGGGTTTGAGCTCCCTTCCTATATGGGAAAAGGCTCAAATATATTATCCCATTTTTATCACTTATATAAGTAGAGAGGATCATTTGGGTTGAGAGATATAAGAAAAAAAAAGGATTCAAAAGAGAGAAAAGAGGAGAGAAACTCATTCTTGTTTTTCTGCAACCAGTCTCACTAAATCGACAATCCCAGATTCGTTAACCATTGGGTCGAGCTCAAATTTGGTGGGAAGGTTCGTAGCACATATATCTAACTTTTGACAGTTCAGAATTTCAAAACAATGTCTGAGGTGAAAGTTATTTGCTTTGCATTAAAGCTGCAAATTTGGGAAATTTTTTCAGCTTTTTGATTCTTATTTGTAAGCTAACTTGCTTTGTGATTTGCGGTTGTTAGCACTAGTTTTTGAATCACTTTAAAACTCTCTTGTACCCTTAATTTATTATAACAGAGTTATTTCTTTGATCTGGACAACTCATAGTTTTTACTCTCATATTGAGGAGGTTCTCACGTTACAAATATCAGTATTTTTTTGTGCCTTTATTTGTTCGATTTGTCGTCTTATATTTGTTGTTGATCCTCAAGGTTACTACAAGTTTGGGGAGTTTTATATCCGCTGCGTATTTGTCTATTATTGTATCTTAATTTCCCATTAGAGTGCTATTAGAGCTCTTGGTTAAGGGCTATTTTACTTGTTTGAATGGTGGAGTCAAATACAAAGATGAAGATGACATTGTTGAATGGTTCTAATTATCATTTATGGAAGGGAAAGATGAAAGGCTTACTATTTGGGAAGAAATTGCGTTTACCAGCTTTTAGTTCTACAAAGCCAAATTATGTGTCTGATGAAGAATGAGAGTTTGAACATCAATAGGTATGTGGTTTTATTCGAAAATATGTAGAAGATAATGTTTATAATCACATTGCTAATGAGACACATGCAAAAACTTTGTGGGAGAAGATAGAGTCCTTATATGCCTCTAAATTAGGGAATAATAAAATTTTCTTATTGAATAGTTTCATAAGTTTGAAGTATAAGGAGGAGAATTTTATTTTAGATCACTTGAGTGAATTTCAAGGCCTCCTTGATCAGACGTCGGGAATGAGTATCAAATTTGATGATGAACTTTTGGGACTATTTCTATTTCTATATTTACCAGAGTCTTGGGAGATGTCATACTCTAATTTTTACCTCTAAGATTCCACCTCGTTTGCATTATTTGCATAACATTTAGCATTAGATGTGTGTGTGTGTTTGTTTTTATGCATCACTAACCAATTAAAAATATAAAAATATGTGCTTGCTTGCTTTACAAGTAATGTTGTGCCTCAAGATGCTCAAACTGATGATTATCCATAGATTGGTGTGATCTTCAACTTCTCAAGTTTCTCATTAATTCATGAAGATCAAGAGTTTCCTTTTATTAATAACAAAGTGCAAGATTACATCATTTCAAACTAATCAAGCCTCAAGTTCATCTGATGCACCAATTATGGTTTTGACCAAAAGTGGCTTATAGTTGATTTTTTTTCATCTGAGCATGATCCCATACTTCAAGACATGATTCAAGGGTCTCAAATACATATTTGAAGTCCATTCACATGATTTAAATTTCCCAGTAAGTTTGATCCTTTGAAGATTGCAAATTTGGATTCATCTGATACAAAGTCAACTAGTGCACAAAGTTAAAGTTTGACTTTTGGTCGACTTTGAGCTTCACAAGTTATTATTCAAGAAAATATGATGGATGATTGCATTTGATCAAGTTATAATCAAGAAATCATTCAAAGATGCAAATTTGTCCAAATCGAAGAAAACTTGAAATTTTTCTAAGTTATGGAAATCCTATGATTTTTGCCCTACTTTCCAAAGTTGTAACTTCTTCCTCAAGCATCCATTGAAAATACTTGAAGTCTTATTTTAAAGATGCAATTTGATATTACAAGTTGATGAGAATTACAAGGCAAAAGAATTCTTGAAGTGGAAGTTATTTATGTTCAAAGTTGGAGTTTCAAGTTGTTTGAAAATCCAAAACACTTAGAAATTTTTCTAAGTTTTTCACCTTGCCAAGTGCATGACTTTATGGACACTTTGTGATCAATTAAAGCCACCACTCTTCAGGCCCAAGAGATGTATTTAAATATGACATTTCATACTTCAATTTAGTGCAAAAATTGGATCAAAAGCTCATAAGTATTGAAAGTTATGAAGTGCCAAAGTTGGGATTTCTTAATTGCCATGTCAAAACGTCCAAAATTTTTCTAGTGTCAAAAAGTTAAAAGTTCCAATTTTTGTGGTT